TCTCAAATGGATTGCCATGGCTTGAATCTAATTTCTCATTTGAAAGAATGAAACTGGTTGGTGGTTTCAAACATGAATGTTATTTTAGGTTATTTTCCATTTCATATATGGGATGTCATCCGACACCCATTGACGAAGTCCATCATTTTTCAGAGGGGTAGGGCTCAACCACCAACCAGATTTAGTTCAATGATTCTGCCTGATTTTCCGGCAGGTGGAGGCACTGGGATTGAAGCCCTCTGCGCTCTTGAAGGCAAGGGGAAGGGAATCTTGGTAGGTTTGGATGGGGAGAACAATGACACATTCTATTTGGACATATGATTACATTAAATATATATATATATATATGTATATGTATTATATATTATATATTATATATTATATTAAATATATTATATATATTATATATTATATACTATATATATTCTATATTCTATATATTATATATTCTATTTATTATATATTCTATAGATTTTATATTTAATATGTATATTATATATATTATATATATTATATATATTATATATATATCATATTATTTGTACATTACATATTATATGATAATATATTATATTATATTATATTATCTTATATTATATTATATTACATTACATTATATCATATTATATTACATTATATTATATTATATATATATTACATATTATATATATATATATTAAGATTAAGCATTGTCAAACAACAATATGGTGTCCTATGATATAACAGTTTAACCCATACTAAAACCACTAGATTATTATCTTTTACTTAGTGGCAACACAAATGGTGACTGTTTTCAGTTTTCCCGCAAACCAAATCATTGATATACGTAGACATATATATATATATGTATTTGTTTATTTAAATATTTATTTATTTATTCACATACATATATGTATATGTATAAGATATATATATATCTATCTGTTATATACATGCGTGTAAATATATTATACATATATTATATATATATATATACATGCATGGTACCTCCAAAATTGTCCAGGAGGCGGTCGAGAAGAAGTGGAAAATGAATTCCAAAGACTTCAACGCGCGTGCCATGGCTGCCATGGCTTCAAGGGGAGGAAACTGCTAGTGATGTCTCGTAGATCTAGTAATCCAAGGTAATGAGTGGAACTTGCTTTTTGAAAATCTCAGATTGGAAAGAAGATTGACTAAGAGAAATGCTAGATATAATTTCATAGAGATTAGATCAGTTCGATAGATAACAGTTGTGATAGACACAAATCTTACTGCGGGATCCGAGACAATACACAGATGTGGGAAAAAGAGCCCTACGAAGCAATGACGGGATCAATCAATTGAAAGACAACAGCGGGTTAGATCACAAATTATGACAGAGTAGCTTTCTGGGACACGTTGATTGACACTAGGCATACTGCTGGCGTGTTGAGAGCGTTGTGATTCTGCCTTCAAGGTCAATGAAGTGGCCGTGAAATGGAAAAGTACAGGATCATAAACCAAGCTTGCAGGATGATGCAGAAATTGCAGTGCACGAAATATGGACTATATTCACAAATCATCCTCTGGTAGTTTAATATCGTCCTTGAACATCATTTTTATTAGGTACATGTATAAATCATCGCACTAAATTGGTCATGTTCCATGTCAAACCGTTAAATAGATACTATGACAATAATATAATTCATGAAACTACATAGGTCCATAGGTCATGTTCCATATCAAACTGGTTAGATTGCCTGTTCGGGTATCATGGAATGCCACATACGTCGTACTCGGTGTTTCACTATCGAAACGGCCAGGTGTTTTAGCAGCCTGGAATTCCACTTGGCCTGAAGCCAGGTTGTGAGCGTGGCAGCGTGGCCCGCAGATTGGTGGAAATTACGTGTCATGAGTTTCGACACTTCTTTGAGGATCTATAATTAATGATCAATGATAAATCAATGATTATAATAAATGATAAGTCAACGCTAAATCAATGATGAAACTTATCATTTAGCATTGACTTATCATTTATCACTTATTTTTATTGTTGGAACTGATAAATAACATCATTCAACTTTCTATGAAATGATAAATTCTTCTGAGCAAGTTTGGAATTCACTCAGCCCACGACTGTGGCCCCACTAACGTGTCCTAAGCAAAATCGGCCGACGTGGGGAATTTTCTGCGGGTAAAATCCCTGGATTTGGAGTATGAAAAAATGGGAAAACATGGACAGGTGTAGTTGGGAAGTTGGGAAGTTATGGCCATGGCTAAACCAGGTAAATAACTGGTGATTTCTATGGGATGAAATACATTTCTATAAATGGGGTGACTTGTTAGTACTTATAACTGATAGCCCATAACTGTGGGAAGTTGGGACATAGTTGGGACATAGTTGGGACACACATAAAAACCTATAGCTGCAGACACATGAAGCAATACCTAAAACAGCCACCGCGGGCAACATCTAAATCTATGGCCAGTGTTTACCATGCCCATATGTTCCATGTATGGTGTATTTACCGACATTTGGGTGAATTTTTAGGGCAAATGCTGATACATATATGTAAGTATTCCATACATGGAGCAGATGGGATGGTTAGAAACCACGGATATTGTGTAAGCAGCGGTGATTTTCTGAGGTGATTTTGTGAGCAATACAGTGCCTGCAATTGGATGTTGTACAATGTGAGGCCCCCGTTCGATAGCTAAGTTGCTGAACATAACTCCAATAACTATGGTTTATGGTACGCACATAACGAACTAGTTACTGGGGCTTAGAATAAACCAACGTTCACATCACTGGGGGGCCTCACATTGTATGATATATTATGATATTGTATGGGCTGGTTTAGTCTCTGGCCCATTGGACATTGGTGTGGAATTCCATAACATCTCTGCAAGTCAGGGAACGGTGGGATGACATCCGATGGGTTCTGGACCACCACAAACGGACTTCAAAAGCACATGGGAATATGTTGGGTGTTGATGGGATGTTAAATTAGACCATTCATGGTTCAAATCTAGATAGAAAAGCTGCTTTGCACTTTTATTTGGGTGGTGGTTTGGAACATGTTTTATTTTCCATATATTGGGAATAATCATGCCAACTGACTCTGATATTTTTCAGAGGGCTTGAAACCACCAACCAGCCATCAATGGATCAAATCTAGCGATACTGCTTCGCACTTTTTTATGTTTGTTCTGAGATGATCTGGAAGATTGGGCCAGCAGTTAGGATGTTTTAAAGCCCTGACCTGGTCTGCAATCAGTGCCGCATTTTGAAGATGAGGCGGCATTTCGGTCTGTGTTTCCTGGATCCAGAGCAATGGTCTGCCGCATGTGTGACATCTGAGTCACTTGTTGGTGAGATCAGCCATGTCCTGTGGCCAACATGTTTGAGGCTCTAGATTCTAGTTGGAACAAAATATATTGCTGTATATATATATATATATACATATTGGTTATTCTTGTTGAAAATAAAATCAGGTTCACTTCGTTCCAGCTCTCATGCTTGATTTCTGACAATGGAACACTCATGTTGGCTGGTAGAGGCACCTGAATGCCATATAGCTGGAGGAATGAACACATAGATTTCATTGGTTGGTGGTTTGGAACATTTGTTATTTTATCATATGCCCTCTGGTAAACTAACATAGCTATGGAAAATCACCATTTTTCATGGGAAAATCCACTATAAATGGTCATCTTCAATAGCTATGTTAAATTACCAGAAGGTATTGGGAATAATCATCCCAACTGACTAGTGGCTAATATTTTCCTGAGGGGTAGGTCAACCACCAACCAGTTCACCTTTCTTTTGTGTCCCTTTGGGTAACAGGGTTTGATCTACAGCCACTTGTTGCTTCGGTGATTACATTCATGCGCCTTGCTCTGGATGCAGCATCTAGACCGGGCAGGATAGAGTGTGGCACCAACCTCCTCGTATCGATGTCTTTTTCCATGGCCCAAAAAGGAAATTGATGAATATTGATGAACATGAAATTGGACTTGGAATATCTGAAACATTCTGAAACTATCTTCAACATGTGTGCTCTGTCCTGTCCCCGTTTTAGTGGCGCCTCGTTTGGAGACGGCATGAAAAGATCGTTCAACATGGTCTCGCCTGGACATTTACTTGTTCTTTTTCCGGCAGGGTGGTCATTTGGTGAAACACATCAAAATTTATCCGGTTGGTGGTTTGGAACATTTTTCCCCATATATTGGGAAGAATAAACCCAACTGACTTTCATATTTTTCAGAGGGGTTGAAACCACCAATCAGTTTATCATTGACCACAATATGCCCTTCTGGTTTCGGAAATGGGTCGGTTGAACATATTTCGAACACAAGGACCTTCCAGATGACTTTGCTCAACCACGATGGTATCATCAAGATGTTTCATGAATGGTGTGTGTGTGTGTCATCAGTTGTGGGCAAAAAACAGTGCATTTTGCGAAAGAATATGATCTATTCATGCCACAGCAGTAGAACTCCTCCCAGTGAAACCGTATGAACACTATGGTATGCCAACAGATGACCTGAGTACATGTATACAAATCATTGTGCATTGCAAGATTGAATTCTTAAATGGTTCAAGTAGTCAATCACGATTTTTAGCATCCAAGAGGTTTCCCCAATTTCTGCAGCTAAACTCCCAAAACCTGTCGCCGTGACATCCGGGATGCTTCAACTGGGCCGCTGCTGTTTCTGCTCCCGAGTGTTTGATACTCGAAACCCTCCGCCGGGCTGGGCTGACATGTTTTCTTGTCTAATTCCAGATCCATGGTCAACATCGTTTTTGTTTTGCCTTTTGAGACCTTGTGAAAAATATCAGACATTGTAATATCATGTTCTGAAGCTAAATGATGTATATTATGGTCAACATAATTCATAAACATTCATAGTATATCAAACTGTGTCGAGATGGAATAATCAGCAAACATGTTCAACACCTTTTTGCCACCCTTGGTCTACATACAAATTCGGGGCCGCTCAACGGCGAGAACTCCAGCGTCCTCCAGCGCGCCCCTCTCATGGCTCGTGGGCAGGCAGGGATGTCTCCGCAAACGTGCATCACAGGTTGCAAGATGTTTTAAGTTTGGCTGTGTATATATATATATATATACACATTATATTACAGTATATACACTTTCTGTTTTTATATACAACCACTTACAATGAAAATATGTTGTATCCCATATATATATATATAGTATAATCATATAATATGATATGATATAATATGATATATATATATATAAACAATATAATATAGTATAATATAATATAATATAATATAGTATAATATAATATAATATAATATAATAATATAATACAATATAATATAATATAATATTATAATAAAATATAAAATAGCATAATATTAAATAATATAATATAATATGATATGGTATATGATATAATATAATCTAATGGAATGTAATATAATATGATATAATATAATGTAATGTAATAATATATATATATTGTATTTTACTTGGATCAGGTATCCAAGGCAAGTGGGATTATCATTGGGAGGATTTTTGTTGCTCTTAAAGAAACGTATCCGAGATTGCCCTATAATCTGTCGTTCAGCAAAAAACACCCAACTTACCCTCTGGTAAACTGTTACATAACTATGGAAAATCACTATTTTTAATGGGAAAATTCACTATTTCAATGGCCATTTTCAATAGCGAACTGTTAGTTTACCAGATGGTAAATACACTGTAATACATATGTTTTTCGAAACTGAGTCGGGGAGTTGTCATGTATTTCCATTGCCCCAAGTAGGCACTGCCTGGTGTTGTCAGTCACAAAAAAAAACATCTTTGATCACTCTCTGTTAATCGAGCTTGACGAAACACCTCCCATGTTCATCCAATATTGGTCGATGTTTTTGCCAATTACCCCTAACTAACAGTTCGATGTGGAAAAGCCCACCATTTGCAGATCATTTTCCAGTTTCCCCATAGATTTTCCACATCTAGTTGTTAACCAGGGCATTTTTTGATATGCCGTGAGTTGTGGCGCTTTTTCTTGGTTTTTCCCATCGGTTTTTCCAGGCAGCGACCGCTGCATTGGTGGCCTCACTGGGAGCCTTTCTATTTGGTCTTGATATTGGCGCCTGGGACTTGTCCTGTCGGACTGGTAGGATGCAAGGTGGTGCCCCCGTTCGATAGCTAAGTTGGTGAACATAACTCCAATAACTATGGTTTATAGGTGATATATCTATATAGTGAATGGGTTTACAACCAATTTATAACTGGAGGGGGCACCACCTTGTGCTACTGGTACTACTGGCGGGATGGTGGATCGAAGCCCAATTTTTCTGGGTAAATCTTCGTGAATTTAAGGCGTAAGGCAGGCAAGTTGTAGCTTTAAAAAAATTGCTAATAGATGGGGATGTGTACCTACAATGAGGCCCCTGTTCGATAGCTAAGTTGGTGAACATAACCCCAAGATAGCAGCATCTACAATGTGAGGGCCCCCCAGTGATGTTAGTTGGTCTATAAGCCCCAGTAACTATAGTTATAAGTACCATAAACCATAGTTATTGGAGTTATAAACCAACTTAGTTATCTTGGGGGCCTCACATTGTAGATGCTGGTATGGCGGATCGGGGGAAGCTCAATGTTGGGAAAACAGTGCCATAAATTTGCACCATCCCCCAGTCACCATGACTTTATAGGTGGGATAAACTTACCATTCCCAGTAATGGGTGGTAAAAATATGTAAAAATGACATTGTGTTACCCACATTAATTGTTTGTTTTGTTTGAATCTTGCGTAAGGCACGTTTGTAGCTTCATAGTTTGCATATATGGGGATGTATACTAACATATGCGCATCAGTTTGATATTAGTTGCAGCAGATCTAAGATTGGCTATTTGGCTTGCAGTTGTGCCTGCAGTATCTCTGGCATTCCAAAATACAATTCTTAGTCTATGTTGATATCATGGGTCATTTTTTTTTCCGAGAATCAACTAATATCGCCAGCCATTAAATATGGTTATCATTCACACATTTGTCATTTGGAGATTTGATGAATGAGAAACCTGGGGATAAAGACAATGAGAAATACCCCAGTTGATTGGTTAGGGTACTGGATTGTACTAGCTGGTTGATGGGGGAGTAAAATAAGCATTGATAACCCATAATAAGAACACATATTCATCATCCAAGATCATCCAGTATTTCATGGGGGAGAGTGGTGTTCCCACCTGGCCTCATAGTGACTACACTTCCCGAGTTGCTGAAGGTTTGGCGGAGCTAAACAATTAATGGCAAAAGATATGGGAAAACCTTGGATGGCTAGTTGAACATTTTAGGGGGTTTAGGGTTGCAGGGCTGTTTCCTTTGGCTATCAATTGGGAATAGTTGGGATACATACTAACCAGCCAAGACAATATCATTTTGATGTTTTTTTTGGATACTATCAGGACCTTACAATGATATACATCATTTTCCAGGATATATATATATATATATATAATCCCAGCTGATTTGGATATAATACCTGGTTGGTGGTTTGGAACATGAATTTTATTTGTCCATATATTGGGAATAATCATCCCAACTGACTTTCATATTTTTCAGAGGGGTAGGCCAACCACCAACCAGTTACTTTCTGGTAAACATACAATAAACTATGGAAAATCACCATTTTTAATGGGAATATCAACTATAAATCACCAACCAGTTATAGTGTTTTTTGATCCAGTATTGGCCGTGTTTGCTGAACAGATTGCTTCAGCATCGGAGAAAACTGAGGCTACATCGTAGCTTGGCCGAGGGGACATCCTCGTGACGCCTCTTTGTTGCTGGGAAGGTTTCATCAGTTATAGATATGTACAATGTGAGGCCCCCCAGTGATGCGAACGTTGGTTTAGATTCGCCCCAGTAACTATAGGTATAAGTACCACAAACCATAGTTATTGGAGTTATAAATCAACTTAGCTATCTTGGGGGCCTCACATTGTAGTTTGTTATATACCCAGGTATATGATGGAACCATAAAAGACAAAAAAAAACATGGAAATTTATGAAACCATATATTTTTTTTTTATGGCTGTATAATATTGTATAATTACATGATGAAACCATCATATGCAGTGCTTTAATGTAATTATACAATATTATACAATATTATACAATGTTATACAATATTATACACCCACAACAAAAAAAACAACGGTGTGTTCTATGTTGTAAATATCGCGCCGACCAGTTTTCAGCGTTTTCTTCGACTCGAAATTTGGCCGAAACTCAATTCGCTGATGATTTTCCATGATCTCTTTGGAGAGTTGAGATGAAATCCTGCACCAGTTGATAGGTGGTTTGTCCCATATTAATCCATATTACCCTCTGGTAAACGTTTACATAGCCATGGAAAATCACCCTTTTATAGCTGGGTAAATCTAATCTGTTTGGTGGTTCACATCATACTAATCACTATTAATTAATAGACATCTAATGACATCTATAGACTCTAGATCATCATATTAATCCATATTACCCTCTGGTAAACGTTTACATAGCCATGGAAAATCACCATTTTATAGCTGGGTAAATCTAATCTGTTTGGTGGTTCACATCATACTAATCACTATTAATTAATAGACATCTAGTGACATCTATAGACTCTAGATCATCATATTAATCCATATGACCCTCTGGTAAACGTTTACATAGCCATGGAAAATCACCATTTTATAGCTGGGTAAATCAACGAACTAAATGGCCATTTTCAATAGCATATTAACTGGTTTTATTTATAGGGGACAAGCATCCAAGGGTAAATCGTATGGAACTGAATACAGTTATGGCCATTTATCAGTTATAAGTACTAACAAAACCCCATTTATAGAATGTATCATCCCATAGAAATAACCAGTTGTAACTGATAAATGGCCATAACTGTGGATGGTTGAAATCCATATTATAGGCTTTCAACCATCCCTACGGTGGTGCAGGTTTTTTACCGTCCACAGAGCGTCACACGCCGGCATCGTCGCCCCGATTTTATTAGGGTTTGGCCGAACATGGGGAAATATCCAACATGACAATTTCAATGGATTGGTTTAAGGGAAAATCTACAGGAATCCATAGTTTTTTCTCTTTAAATATGGGGCTTTCCTGTAAATTTTCCCTTAAACCAATCCATTGACAATTGTATTAACATCGAAACACCAACGTATTATCATGATAGTTGGTTCCAGATGTATCCATCAGATCACATCAGATCACGTTAGTTCCAGAAATAAGTAGGATATGTCCACCTATACTCACGTGAATAGTAGAAACCACGATAATCACGTTAGTATTCCCCCGACATCATTGTAGTCCAACATAGTACAAATCATAATCAGTTGTTTTCGAATGTTTTCGATATATGTTAGTGAAACAATGATGATGAAACCAGTAACTATAGATACATCTACCATAAACCATCGTCAACCTCTAGGCTGTAGTGGCTTCATCACCTTGGGGCTTAGCATATCGCTGAGGCGCCCATTTTGGAATGCCCCAGCTTCAAGCGTGACGGGAAACCCAGACAACGACTGGATGACTGGAGATGTCTAGAAATCGCTGCCCAAATTCACCGGTTCTGTTTTTGTAAACGACTGTTGGTCAGATGCCAATATCCATATGGATCCATGTGGGATGAGTTAAGTATGAAACGACTGCAAAACATAGCGATCAGTTGAAGTTCCTTGGATAAGGAGATGTTGATAGTTGATTCTCCATCGAAAATTGCCACGTCAACATGTCAATCAATGGATTGCTTTGAGGGAAAATTGCAACCGGAAACCATGGGTTGTTACCATTAAGATCATGGGGTTTTCCTGTTTCAATTTTCCCCAGTTATGGCCATTTATCAGTTATAAGTACTTACTAACAAGTCACCCCATTTATAGAATGTATTTCATCCCATAGAAATAACCAGTTATAACTGGTTTTTATGGCCATAACTGCAGTAACTATAGGTATAAGTACCATAAACCATAGTTAAATTGTTGATGAATATATACATATATAATATATTATAATATCATATTAGTACGATTAACCAGTACATTTCAATTTTCCCCTAAACCAATCCATTGAGTCAACATGTCAACATGTCAACATTTCTTGATCTTGCTGCCGGGAGGACGTGGGTCACCTAGCCAACTGGAGAAGCAAAGCTTCTCAGATTCCTGCCGGACAAGCTGGTTTCATCGTAGCAGTCCCTCGGTCCTTTGTGTGTCGGCTGGAGGTTTTCTTGTTTTTGGAAGTCCTTCAACTTGTCGTGTTTGGGTTTAATTTAACAGAACTATGGAAAATCACCATAGAAATAGTGAAATTTCCCATGAAAAATGGTGATTTTCCATAGTTACGTTAGTTTACCCTCTGGTAATTTAACATAGCGAACTGGAAAATCCATTATAAATGGAGGTTTTATTGGGAAAATCATCTGTAAATGGTCCATTTTCCATAGCTATGTTAAATTACCAGAGGGTAGTGTTTTTTTTCGCGGTATCCAAGACTGGCCATGTTTTTTTGTTGAAGAATAACACATTGCTTTGGGCTAATTGATAGCTTTAGTTTTCACCCATTCCCAAGTTCCGGCTATGAACATGGAAACTGATTATTTACACGTGTTTACCATTTAGTTGGCCATTGTAATCCTTTTTTGAAATAGATACATAGGTCGTACATGAATTACACCATGATACATAACACAAACACATGCACACTAATTGTATCAACTCATTTATCAAAGTAGTTGCACATCTCATTTGGTATCAACCATTATAGTTGTATATTATTGTTAATTATTATTATTAGATATCAACCAAGATGAACTATTATATTGTATATACAGTATATAGCAGTATATTATATATATATATATTCAGAATTGTGATAATGAAAATTCATTGTATCTATTGTCTGGGGATGTATAGGTCGTGGTAAAAAAAAATAAAAATATATATATATATATATCAAACACTATTATCAAAAACATATATCGTTTAACATCCGTCCATATCATTTTATAATAATAATAATAATACAAAATCTATATCGAAATATGGACAAATAAATAATATCAAATTCATAGCTGGTTGGTGTTTTGGAACATTTTATATTTTTTCCATATATTGGGAATTTCATCATCCCAACTGACGAACTCATATTTTTCAAGATGGTTAAAACCACCAACCAGATATATATGTAACTATCATTTGTAAGGCATGTTATCCCATAAATCGTTTATAAACATATAAACCCAGTTCATTAATGACCATTCATAGCTATTGAACATGGCCATTTGTAATTGATTTTCCCATTCAAAATGGTGATTTTCCATGGTTATGTAAACGTTTACCAGAGGGCGATATGGATTAATATGAGTCAAACCACCTATCAAGTGGTGTGGATACCCATAGGATCCATGTATGCTATATATGGTATCATCTATCATCAATATACCCCAAATGTTCGCATATATACCAGCACCATGGATCCTACAGTTATGGTCATTTACCAGTTATAAGTACTAACAAGTCACCCCATTTATAGAATGTATTTCATCCCATAGAAATTACCAGTTACTTACCTGGTTTTTATGGCCATAACTGTACCACGAATTTCGTCCATATCCTTTGGCCATCCCCTGGCCCACCGCATCTCCGTGGCATCTGCGCGGCCGAGATCTTCTCCATCGGCTGTATTCTCACCTCCTTTCCGCCCATCAGTAGTTGCTGGGAACAAAGTTCAACGGTGCCACCGTTGAACGAGGCCCCTCCTACGTCATGTGATATTTGTTGGTTTATAACTATAGTTGGTATTTCTTTTTATGTTTATATGTGTTTTTGGTGATTACAACTGTTTTTCTTGTACCTAGTTATTATGTTATTGTAGTTTTAATTACTATGGGTTTGTAGCTGTATTATCATTGCCACTATTGCAGACACCCTAGCCATAGTTACAGTTGTAATTACTATAAACATCCATAAGCCAATGAAATTGTAGTTATGTTCACCAACTTTATCTTGGAGGCCCCAACCACGTACCCTCGGTTTTGTTGGTGCAAGTGGCATTTGTGGAATTGCTTTGATTCATAGGGGATAGCATTGAGAGTTGCTGAGTTTTTTCTTGGGATTCTCTGGTCATCAAACATGGCTGGGAAATCCCCGTGGCGCCATGGAGGTCTTAGGAAAATCATCGAAGATGTACATACTTTGGAGGGCAAAAGCCAGGGAATGTTTGACCTTTTCATGGACGTACTGAGATAGACATGATATACTAAGATTGTTTATTCACCTGTGGACCGCAGATTTTTCGCGGAGGATGATCCCTGGAACAAGTTACTGCAAGAGCTTGAAATTTGGACACAACGAACCAATTTTGGAGATTTGGACCAAGTGGAAATAGTTTAAACTTTGGAAGTGATACAGCTACCAAGAGCAACGAAACGTAATTATTGATACCTTCATAGACATTACCAGACCAATAGAAAGTTAGCTGGGCTCATAATATATTGATTGGATTATATAATGTGCAGGTATTCTTATTTATGTATATATATATATATATATACAGTGTGTGTATATATATTATAATATATATAATATATAATATATATATATAATATATATATATAATATATAATATATAATATATATATATTACCAGACATTATATATATATTATATTACCAAACGTATTACCAGCAAAGCTCCAGGTCCAAGATGTTCCCAAGTTCCCAAGGCGTGAAGTTTTGTCACAACTGACCAACTGACTGGTCAACCTGATAAACAACTAAAACATAGCAACAAAAACATACAATGTGAGGCCCCCGTTCGATAGCTACGTTGGTGAACATAACTCCAATTTCACTATGGTTTATGGTACGCAAATAACAAACTAGTTACTGGGGCGAATCTAAACCAACAAACATCACTGGGGGGCCTCACATTGTAGGATTTCCATCTACATCCCTATGTTGTGTGGCTTGGCTTCTCATTTTGTGAGTCAGATCCCTATGCTGATCGAGATCTAAATGGTTAGTATTTGATGGTATTTGTATATTGCAAGTTGTCATCCAATGTTTTATTGTTGCTGTTCTGTCACCGCGTGAATGCCGGGAGAGTGACCTCTAAAGCTGGTTGGGATGAACATCACTGTTCTCCCGAACCCTGGAATCATGGTTTATTTCAGAGACATCATCCACAAATGGCCGAACATTTCAGGTTAGTGAAATATTATAATTTATCCAGTGATACATTATACTATGATCATATGAACATCCCAAAATATCATAAAATATCAACATGTGACATATTTGCGGGGATGAAGATGATGAAGATCCACAACTACCAGCCGAGGTTTCTTCTTAGACGAGCTTGGACGGCGGAGTAGCATCCTCTTGGGTGGCGTTACTTGGCCTGTGATATCTTTGATACTGGGATCACGAAAAAGATCAATACTTATCAATATTTATCAATAGTTATAGTTATCAGAAATTACTGTATCAATAAGTATCAATAGTTATCAATAATTATCAATAATTTTGAATAATTATCAGCTTGTCATAGCTTATGATAGCTTATGATAGCTTATTTTACTGACCTGTAATCAAAGATGACAATGGAATATCATCCATTTAACGTTGAAATTCCAAAGATCCCCCCCTTCGATCGCCATCCGGAACAGCGACCAAACATGGTCGCTCGGAGCGGTTTAATGATCGTTGAGGGCAAGGGGAATCATCCCAAAAGAAACGTTTACATCTCCGATTTGGGACTGATTGGTTTAAGTTTGCGAAGAATTGTGGTTGGCCTGAAGGTATATTCAAAACGTATCAATTGACGTAGGAATTCTGCTTTCCTGACTCCTCGACTTTCCTGCGGCGGTTCATCGAGTTACATTCTGTGGACTTGGAGGATTGACATCTTCCATCATTTTCCCGAACTGTGTGTTGTATGTAGCGGCAAATCCCTTCAAAGTGGCCCCCCTTGATAGATAAATTGGTGAAGAACTAAGTTTACGAATGTTTATGGAAGTTTATGGTAGATATATCGTACCTCTCGTGAGATGGAAGATGGATTATGAAGCAACAAACAGAATTGGGGAGTTCACGTTGTAATTACAGTTATGGCCATAGCTATCAGTTATAAGTACTAACAAGTCACCCCATTTATAGAATGTATATATCATCCCATAGAAATCACCAGTTATTTACCTGGTTTTTATGACCATAACTGCAGTAACTATAGGTATTTGCGTACCATAAACCATGGTTTTTACCATCAAGATCATGGGGTTTTCCATGGTTTTCCTGTTTCAATTTTCCCCTAAAGTGCCAAGGCTGTTTTGGGGAAAGGTTGCACGAAATCTCGTGGAACTCAGGTGATCTTCCTAGCTGGTTGTGCTCTTCAAGCTTTGAGCCAGTCCATGATCGCGACTTGGCTAGAAAAATTGAGCAATCCCTATGGATCCAGCCGTACCTTCCGAATGGAAGTGTTTGGGGTATGATTTAGGGAATGGCTGCGAAAAACCTCTGTTGGTGTATGATTTGCTCCAAAAAAATGTGGAAATCTAACAGGAAATTTAACCATCATTTACGGATATTGAGGAGTTGTAACTTGTAACCTTTAATAATTTATGAACATCAGCCATATGGTCATTTAAAAATGATGGCTGGTTGATGATTAGTTTTGGGGTTCTACTACCCTTAATATTATATTGGGGATTATCATCATCTATGGACTGGGAATTCAGTTCTCAATCGAGCAGTATTTCATGGAATCACAACCAGCAGGGTTTGAGCACTTCCGAATTGGGAATTCGTAGGTCAACGGATTCGTGTCCAGGTTTAATAACAGTTTAATACTCCAAACTGCTGTGAAAATCTTCAAACCTTGAAATATTTCAGGATAAACCCACCCAGATATCTCCCGGGCAAGAACCATTGATATAGCTGGTTGGTGGTTTCGAACATTTCTTATTGTTCCATATATTGGGAATTTCATCATCCCAACTGACGAACTCATATTTTTCAGAGGGGTAGGTCAACCACCAACCAGATAGACAATTTATAATTCATTTATGATGTATATACACATACATAGATGCCTTACTGTCATCCATCCAACTGTAGATATGAGCGTAAGCCCATTGCTTGCCATTTATCAGTTATAAGTACTTATAACCCCATTTATAGAATGTATAATCCCATTTATAACCAGTTATAACTGGTAAATGGCCATAACTGTAGACAATTTCGCCCCCGTTCCATCCACGTTTCCCCCCTTCCATCGGTTCCACGCTGGCTGAGGTCTTTCTGCTGGGCCGCTTAGTGACAGGCACCTCAATTGGACTCCTCAGTAATGTGGTGCCCCTCTACCAGGTGCGCTGAAAACAGCCCGCCCGAGACGGGCTAAAAAACAACGGTTGAAGAGGCCCCACAGTTATGGCCATTTACCAGTTATAACTGGTTATTTCTATGGGATTATACATTCTATAAATGGGGTTATAAGTACTTATAACTGATAAATGGCCATAACTGCAAATGATGCCGCGAAGGTAGTGTTGAAGGATTGTTTTTTGTTGGATTTGTGCCAGGATTTGTGGCACTTTGTGGTGGATTCGGATATTTACCCCCTGGTAAATTAACATAGACCCTGAAAATCACAATTTTTTAATGGAAACTAGTCTTCCAACCCCTATCTGCCAGGGTCTATGTTAATTTACCAGAGGGTAAATATAAATATATATTTAAGATGTTGAGTAACAATCGCGGAGATACAGCCGTTATGAACCATCAATATCTAGCTACACTCTGATCAAAGCTGGCAATGGGATGCAATGGGAAAACACGATTTCGCCGCCTTTCGCCGCTTTTCCGGGTAACAATGGGCTGCCTCACCAAGGGCTGGATGTCACCATTTTTTCCAACTGATTTTCTTCCAATTCATCTGCAATGCTTTGTTGTTTTTATCGAGGAGAAGGTGAGCTATCCATGGTTATCCATGGCTATGTAATTCTCCATGGATTCGGTGATGTTTGACGCCCGGTGAACCGAGGATCCCATCGTCCTATGTTTTTTACCATTCTGATTTACCCATGATGTCCCCATGATTCACCATTAAAAATGGGGATCAAGTCCTAAGCAAATCATGGGTGAATGTTGCTGAAAAAAAATGGTGGAATGTGGTCCAATTCGTGCAAGGTGGTGCCTCAGAGCTGGGTCGGGTTCACGCAAAGTTGGGGGCCACAGAAGTCCAATTTCACGACTGGGTTTATGGTAGATATACCTATACTATCCTATACTTGATGGGGCTTATAAACCAACAAACATCACTGGGGGGGTACTTAATGGGGCTTATAAACCAACAAACATAACTTATAAATTATAACTGTGGGGGGCACCACCTTGTGGTAAATATTGCTAAAACGAAGCACTAACCGTCACTAACGAGAAAAAAACGATGCGATGCCTCCATCATCTCCCAGTCTCGTGGAGGCCGAGATGGCACCCGCTGAGTTGCGAGGCACCCTGACGTCCATGTACAACATGATGATCACCACAGGCGGGGAACGACGGGAACGATTTCGCCGAGGATCTACAAAGGATCACTGGTTATAAACCAAATTTTATGGTTACTGGTTGGTGGTTTCAAACATTGTTTTTCCCCATAATATATTTGATAACCCTTCCCATCGACTAATATTTTTCAAGATGGTTAAGACCACCAACCAGTGGTTAGTTGTGACCCAGTTGTGGGATGGGGTGAACTATTTAGTGGTGCTTGGGATATCTATGAATGTTTCAGGTTTTTTTCGGCAGAATCCGGCCATGGGGGATACCAACAAACGGAGTGATCTTCAAAGCAAATGAGGATTTGCAACTGACAGGAGTAACCATGGTTAGTTATGATATAATATGATATAATATCGTTATAGATGGAACACACCAGGAATAGTGTCGTACCAATGTTCAGCTTATTATATGTTATCCAGTTACTAATTTGCCGAGCACTTTTTCTGCCACACATTCACTGATGGTCCCAATGCTGCATGGTATTCCAAGGTTTTGGCCAGGGCATCAACTGCAGGGCTTGTTATTTTTTGGGATGATAGGCTGACAGGGATGGAGCCAGATGACTTTAACATACCTTAAGAAATGTGGATGTAGCAACCGACAGGGAACGAATGCTGCAACAATTTAGTGACAAAGAAAGATTGGGACTTAATCAGGAAGAGTCGCAGGTCTATGATAAGTCGTCTTCCAATTCAGCACTTCTACCAGTGGGACAGCAGGTTTTAACTTGTGATGTCATGCACAATGGTGCCAGTAGAATCCAGTAGACTCTACTGAACGTATGCAGCATGACAACCAATGGCCTCAAAACATTGGGAACTATTGGTGACTGGCTGTCCGCGCAAGCCCGTTGCTATCATCCATCCAGAACAAGTGGGAGATATCCCCTCGATTGCCATGACGCAAGACACTTGCAAGCTCTAAAACAAGATGAAGCCCACGAACCCGAATGCTCACACGTATGTTAATGGTACAGATGTCAAAACACATGGTTATGCAGTCACGCACAATACCTTTCTGCCATAGTTTATTTGAACAGTCTTGTACATGTTTCCCTTGTTACCAGTCTGCAGTGTGGAGTGGAAAGTGTAGAGTGAGGAGTGTGGAGTGTGAAGTAAGGAGTGTGGAGTGTAAAGTGTGGAGTGGGGAGTGTAGAGTGTGTAAAGTGTAGAATGTGGAGTGTAAAGTGTAGAGTGTGGAGTATGGAGTGTAAAGCGTAGAGTGTGGAGTGTAGAGTGTGGAGTGTAGAGTGTAGAGTGTGGAGTAAGGAGTGTAAAGTGCAGAGTGTATAGTGTGGAGTGTAAAGTGAGGAGTGTAAAGTGTAGAGTGTGGAGTGTGGAGTGTAAAGTGTGGAGTGTAAAGTGTGGAGTGAGGAGTGTGGAGTTTGTAAATTGTAGAGTGTGAAGTGAAGAGTGTAAAGTGTAGAGTGTAAAGTGTAGAATGTGGAGTGTAGAGTGTAGCGTGTGGAGTGTGGAGTGGAAAGTGTAGAGTGTGGTGTGTAGAGTGTGGAGTGTGGAGTGTAAAGTGTGGAGTGTAGAGTGTGGACTGAAAAGTGTAGAGTGTGGAGTGTAAAGTGTGGAGTGAGGAGTGTAAAGTGGAAAGCGTGGAGTGTCAAGTGTAAAGTGTGGAGTGTAGAGTGTATAGTGTAGAGTGTAAAGTGTAGAGTGTGGAGTGTGGAGTGTAAAGTGTGGAGTGTAAAGTGTAGAGTGTGGAGTGTGGAGTGTAAAGTGTGGAGTGTAAAGTGTGGAGTGAGGAGTGTAAAATGTGGAGTGTGGAGTGTAAAGTGTGGAGTGTGGAGTGGAAAGTGTGGAGTGTGAAGTGTGGAGTGTAAAGTGTAAAGTGTGGAGTGTGGAGTGTAAAGTGAGGAGTGTAAAGTGTGGAGTGTAAAGTGTGGAGTGTAAAGTGTGGAGTGTGGAGCGTAAAGTGTAGAGTGTGGAGTCTGGAGTGGAAAGTGTAGAGTGTGGTGTGTAGAGTGTGGAGCGTGGAGTGTAAAGTGAGGTGTGTAAAGTGTGGAGTGTGGAGTGTACAGTAAAGTGTGGATTGTGGAGTGCGGACTGTGGAGTGGAAAGTGTAGAGTGTGGAGTGTGGAGTGTAAAGTGGGGAGTGTGGAGTGTATAGAGTGTGGAGTGAGGAGTGTAAAGTGTGGAGTGTGGAGTGTAAAGTGTGGAGTGTGGAGTGGAAAGTGTGGAGTGTGAAGTGTGGAGTGTAAAGTAAGGAGTGTGTAGTGTAAAGTGTGGAGTGTGGAGTGTAAAGTGTAGAGTGTGGAGTGTGGAGTGTAAAGTGTAGAGTGAGGAGTGAGGAGTGGAAAGTGTAGAGTGTAGTGTAAAGTGTGGAGTGTGGAGTGTAAAGTCTCAGGTGAGGGGTGAGGAGTGTAAAGTGCAAAGTGTAAAGTGTGGAGTGTAAAGTGTAAATTGTGGAGTGCGGAGTGCAAAGTGTAGAGTGTGGAGTGCGGAGCTTCCCCCATAGACACGGCGACGCCACAGGAAAACCAGCGACTCGAGACAAGACATGTGGATGCAGAAAAACCAGCATTTCGTACGAGACTTCCTCCAATTTTGACATTTTCAACAATCAAACAGGTTGGAATGTCACAAAGTGCCACGCCTGCCACGCAAAACAACAGGACAACCTGCTGTGAAACATTCGAAAAGGTCAGGTTTTCCAGCTTCCCCCATAGACACGGCGACGCCACAGGAAAACCAGCGACTCGAGACAAGACACGTGGATGCAGAAAAACCAGCATTTCGTACGAGACTTCCTCCAATTTTGACATTTTTGACACATTATCAAACAGGTTGGAATGTCACAAAGTGCCACACCTGCCACGCAAAACGACATGACAACTTCCTTGGAAACCTTCGAAAAGGAGAGGTTTTGCGGCTTCCCCCATAGACACGGCGAAGCCACAGGAAAACCAGAGACTCGAGACGAGACACGTGGGAGCACCAAAACGATCATTTCGTACGAGACTTCCGGCGATTTTCACAGTTGGCAACATAACAAAAGGACAGGTTTTGCAGCTTCCCCCATAGACACGGCGAAGCCACGGGAAAACCAGAGACTCGAGACGAGACACGTGGGAGCACCAAAACGAGCATTTCGTACGAGACTTCCTCCAATTTTGACACTTTGCAGCTTCAAAATCGACGTTTTCCTACGAGTTTTCCTTAGAACCTGAAAATTTGCAACATCAAAATCAATGTTTCGTGCGAGACTTCCGTCAATTTTCAGCACATGTCAGAAAATGCCACGCCTGCCACGGAATTTGCACCTTGTCACCACTTGACGCAGCCCTGCCAATGCGATTTACAAAAAACACGCAACAGGACACGTCTAAAGTGCTGCGCCTGCCACGAAAAATGACGATGGACACGTCCAAAGTGCTGCGCCTGCCACGAAAACTGCAACACATCTTCTAAAAACGTCACAAAAGCATTGCGCCTGCCACGCAAAACGATATTCAACACGTTGCAAAACACGTCTGAATGTCACAAAGTGCCACGCCTGCCACGCGAAACGAAGCAACGACACGTCTGAAACCTCCAAAAATGACCACCTCTGCAAAACTTCCCATAGGCACGGCCATACGGAGTTCGTACGAACGGTTGCGGACGGTTGCGAACGGTTGCGAACGGTTGCGAACGGTTGCGGACGCGGACGCAACGTCGAGCGAACACATTCTCAACCCCCAGACCCCCAGAGTGAAACGGGAACCCTTGCTACGCATTCGGGAAAAATAGAACAGTAAAGTCCCATTGAAACGATTGGGTGACTGTTCTATTGGTTTGTGATTGGTTTGGGGTTAGTATTTGATGCAACATTGCATGCAACTTAGTACACAAAAAGGCACAGACTTGGGCCCTTCAACAGATAGGGGGATTGGCATCCCACCCTTCATCGGGGCCAGCGACTATAGATAGCTATAGCAACCCCCAAAAAAGATAGATCTTCATCCCTACAGTTATGGCCATTTATCAGTTATAAGTACTTATAACCCCATTTATAGAATGTATATAATCCCATTTATAACCAGTTATAACTGGTAAATGGCCATAACTGTAAAATAGTGGTGAATTATTTATTTTGATCCTTTTTTTTTTCGTGGGGCCAATACCTCACCGGACTCACTGGAAATTCCCACGGAAATTGACCCTTTCAAAAATCACAACGGGGGGTGTAACAAGTTTGTACCTCCAGATCTAGAAAATGGTCATTAATTACATGATCCAATGTTTTCCAACACCAAAAGTGAGAAGCTTTGGGATAGGGGTGTTTTTGTAAGGCTTCTTGCTTAAGGTTCCATTAATGAGCCTGTGCTAGTAAGATTTCAAATGGATCAAATGGACTTTACTGATTGGTTTGGAACATGAATTTTATTTTTCCATTCAGTTGGGAATAATCATCCCAACTGACGAACTCCATCATTTTTCAGAGGGGTAGGTCAACCACCAACCAGATTTGGAATCATTAATGGCCATTTTTAGCTATTGAAAATGGCAATTAATTTATAGTTGATTTACCCATCAAAAATGGTGATTTTCCATTAATGTTATGTTAGTTTACCAGAGGGGCAGGTATACCACCAACCAGACTTTCATAAAGGGCCTTATTCCGTACCGGTACTTGGAGGTTCATCCCATCGTGGTGAGAAACAAACCCCCGATTCGTGGGAATTATGCCATTTTCAGAACAGCTAACTGTTATTTTTGTTCTAACAAAGTAACAAACTATATATGGTATTATATTTGTTCAAACCAACTATGTTTTCTATTTTTTCTAACGTTTTTCTAACTAACTATATGGTATTACCCAGATGCTCTATGTACATTTACCCCAAAAATGGCCCAGTTTTGTAGGTAAATATTCCAGCACCATGGTTCGCATCTGGGTTATATGGTTACAATGTGAGGCCCCCAGTGATGTGAACGTTGGTTTAGATTCGCCCGAGTAATTAGTACGTTATTTGCGTACCATAAACCATAGTGAAATTGGAGTTATTAGTTCACCCCAACTGAACGCTCTCGTTATCAAGGGGGCGTCACGACTTGTACAACAATTACCGTCGGACCGTCGGTTTCCGCGGGATGTTTCCGATGCCGCGAGGCATCTTTGTCGCCGCGTTACTGGATGAATTTCTGGTGGACATCGATGGGGGCTGGAGAACCGCCATCCTCCTACAGGTGGACTGTGTGGCTCCGGAGAAGGGGCTTGAGCAGCACGGCGAACAGGTCAAAGATAAAGATTTTTCGAGATATATCATTATATATATATATATCATACATAATAAGATTGGTATATCATGGTATATCTCAGGTTCAAATAAAATGACCCAAAAGCAATAAATCTGCGGAAAAGATGTTCGTTTGGATGGCTTAACAATGAACTTGACCAATTCTGTGGGATGCCCTGCGGATAAAAATCCGAATGGGAGATCAAAAAACCAGTGGTATTTATCGTGATTTCCCTGATCGAGGTACCGTTATAAAATATGACTATTATTTAATTTCGGGGTATATAGTATTATGAATTATGTAGTGCATATATATATATATATAGATATATATATATATTAATTAAAATATATCATTTCAGAACAGGCCCACATATCATTTAAGTTGGTCATATTTTCTTCTATTCCCGTGCTGTTTGGTTACGACAAATCCATGGACAAAACCCGCTCAACTTTGTGGATTTCCATGGTGATTCTCATGGTGATTCTCCACGTCATTTATCGCTGGTTGGTGGTTTCAAACATTGTTTATTTTCCATAATACTGTATCTGGGTAAATTATAACGACCTCACTGCGACCTCACTGGAATCATGGTTGATAAGGGGAATCATCCCAAAATGACCTTAATTCAGGTTAGTGAAATATTATAATTTACCCAGATAATATATGGAATGTCATCCTTCCCATTGACGAAGTCCATCATTTTTCGAGATGGTGAAAATAACCACCTTAAGCAGATATTTTC